GGTGAATTTAGGATGAACTCTGGGTGACAAACGGTGCCATTGGGGAAGTCCTCTTGCTGAGGACGAGTTATACTTTTATCTGGAGACCGTGTGCAGCAGGCTGCGTCAGCTGGGCTGTGTAAGGGGGGCGGGGATCTCCTTCAGTTTCCTAATCTCTTAGCGGATTGCCTGTGATGTGCATCTCTTTCTGCTTTCGTGCTTTTTGGATAATAAAACTTTTCTTTCTCTTCTGCCTCTGCAGAGAGCTTTTCTGAGTTGGTAGGAGATTTTGTTTTTAATTATAGTTCCCCAACATGATCTCCCCATCTCAAAGTTCTTAGCCAACTCACATCTGCAGTCCCCTCTGCCACGTAAGGTAACATTCATGACTCCAACCATTCGGACCTGAGCAGGGATTAGGGTCCTCATCAGCCCACCACCCACTCCGACGCCATCCCTTCCCAGCTCCCCTACTCGGCTTTACTGTTGTGCGAAGCTCATGTCGCCGGAAAGCAGGGATCTGGCCTTTTCTCCTACAGCCAGCCTCTAGAAGGGTGTCAGGTCCACGGCTAAGCACCTGGGGGCCAAATGAATAAGGAAATGGGAGAGCTCGAGCCCACGGGGAGCGAACTGGATTAGACCACACAGGTCTGGACCATCATTAACCTGCAAACTTCAAACCCTCTTCCCTGCTTGTTAAGCAGATGGTGGGAGTCTGACAGAACTTCAGGTGAGAGAAAAATACTTTTCCTCATAGGAAAATTCCAGTCCGTATGTGAGTGAGGCAAAGAAGACAACATTTAGAAGAAAACTTGAGTCTGTAACTCTCTCCCTTGAAGGACTCTGATTGTAGGGAGCAGTGCCTTCGACATATTCTTTTATCTGGAACATTATTCTAGAATGACAGGAATGCAAGCACCTTTGAGGAACCTCTGGCTCTGAGGGGGACCGTTGCTCGGGGGAGGAGGGCGCCCGACGCTCTGGAGACCAGGTTTACCACTGCTCGGTGGTTTGCTCTCGGGACCACACACCGCCAGGAAGCCCGGCAACGAACCATTGCGGTGTCTCAGCCAAGACAGAAGGTAATTGACTTTACCTAGAGATCTCCATTTTTACCTTTTCGAGGTCCAATCTCATCTGTTATTTTTTTTAAAGATTTTATTTATTTTTTCGACGGAGAGAGACACAGCGAGAGAAGGAACACAAGCAGGGGGAGTGGGAGAGGGAGAAGCAGGCTTCCCGCGGAGCAGGGAGCCCGATGCGGGGCTCGATCCCAGGACCCTGGGATCATGACCTGAGCCAAAGGCAGACGCCTAACAACTGAGCCACTCAGGCGCCCCGCAATCTCATCTATTATTATGATGCTATGTCTTTTTCTACTCCAGACTGGCTTCAGGTTGTGTCTTCTTCAACTTAATTCAAAAGATGGATTTAGAAGCCTTGTGTGTATCCATTCTTGGTTTAAAATCTACTAAAAGCCAAGCTTGATTTGGAAACGCCAAGGAAATTCTCAACAGAATCTCCGTGACGTCTTCGCAGTTTCGCAGAAGCGGGTGTGTTTGCTTGTGTTCTGTTCCTGCTGGTGGCGCGAGCTGTTGTGCACAGACACGTGTGCGCCAGATAACAGACGCACTACCTCCAGCCATAGCTCATTCCTACCCAAACCCTTCTCAGATAACCTCAGGCAGTGAGTCAGAATAGAAACTTGGTTTCAACTCAGAGCCTCCTCATGGGCTCCAAGACCAAATCTGGGTCACGGTTAAATTTGGTGCCTTCCGAGTTGGCCGGTGAGGTCTCAGATGTTCTCAGAAGTGGTTTGCCTCAGCTGTCTTAAAACACGAGAAGAGAGTTTCCTCTTAACATGATTTAAGAAGGCTTATTTGGGGGACGTTATTAGACATGACAACAATATAGCATGTTTGACTACTACATGGTAACATTCTATTAAATTACTACATCTGACAAATAACATACAAAATAAAATTAATTCTGAAAAGAACATTTGGAAAGTATTTAATTTCAGAGCGTCTACACTGCTCTAAGTGTCTTCCACTAGCGGAGATTGCTTAACTATCCGTGCCTGCCCTGGTGTGCCGTTCTAACAAATGTGGGTATGGTAGATAAAATCACTGCAACAAGTTAGCATGATTTATGGGTCAGATGGAGTTAAAACAAGTTCTTACGGTTAAACCAGGAACCAAAAAGCGACCACAGGCTACCACAAGTATGTAAGAAAAATAATTCCTGAGGTGCCTGGGTGGCTTCGTCGGTTAAAGCCCCCGACTCTGATTTCAGCTCAGGTCATGATCTCAGGGGTGTGAGACTGAGTCCTGCACCGGGCTCTGTGCTGGGTGTGGAGCCTGCTTAGGATTCTCTCTCTCCCCCTCCCTTTGTCCCTCCCTGCTTGCTCTCTCTCTCTCTCCCAAAATAATAATTCCACCGCCTGTTACTTGAAAAAACTGGCTGAGAATGGGCAGCGTGAAGGACCTCGCTTGTGCTCACCATCTCCATCTAGTGGTGGATCCCTGAGGGAGGCTGAACGGACTCCATGAGATTTCATGAACCTTCAGCCTGGTTATCTATCTGCCTTCCCACCACTTTGAGTTAGGAAAATATTTTTGCACCTGTGAAGCTGACTCTTTAAGTGTACTTCATAAAGATGCAAATTCCTTTTATAAGTTTGCTGAATTTTCTTGAAAGACTTATTATAAATTTCAAAACGTTAATGGTATGGGGCGCCTGGGTGGCTCAGTTGGTTAAACGACTGCCTTCGGCTCGGGTCATGATCCCAGGGTCCTGGGATCGAGCCCCGCATTGGGCTCCCTGCTCGGCCGAGGGCCTGCTTCTCCCTCTCCCTCTGTCTGCCGCTCTGCCTACTTACGCTCCCTCTCTATCTCTGTTAAATAAATAAATAAAATCTTAAAAAAAAAAAACGTTAATGGTATGTTAATGTTAAGATACCGCCACTGATTAAAATCCAAGTTTCATTTCCTGCCACGTTAAAACATCCTGATTTCTTATATATTTTTTTCCAGATAAAATCCAGGATTCGTATGTTTGGATTTTTTTCAGCTTAGTATTAGCCATTCTAGCTTCGTTCTTTTGATCACAAAGCACCTGATTAGTCTTAGGAAAGGATTTCCTCTCTGTGTGTGTTAGGTTTGCTAGGAGTGTCCACACACTGGGTAGTTTAAACAATAGAAACTTATTCTCCCAATTCTTGAGGCCAAAAGCCCACGATCAAGGTGTCTGCAGGGCTGGTTCTTCTGAAGATTCTCTCCTTGGCTTGTAGGTGGCTGTCTTTTCTCTGTGTCTTCACATGGTCCTCCCTCTGTGTCCTAATCTCTTCTTAAAAGGACATTAGTCGGGCGCCTGGGTGGCTCAGTTGGTTAAGCGACTGCCTTCGGCTCAGGTCATGATCCTGGAGTCCTGGGATCGAGTCCCGCATCGGGCTCCCTGCTGCTCAGCGGGGAGTCTGCTTCTCCCTCTGACCCTCCCCCCTCTCATGTGCTCTCTCTCTCTCTCATTCACTCTCTCTCAAATAAATAAATAAAAAGAAAAAAAAAAAGGACACTAGTCATATTGGATTGGTCCTGCCTCCCTCCCCCACCAGATGACTTCATTTTTCCTTAATTACCTCTTTAAAGTCCAAACCTCCAAATACACATTCTGGAGGTACTTGGGGTTATGACCTCAACATATGAATTTTAGGGGCACACAACTATATATATATATATATACAGTAGTGAGATAGTGATTTTTCTTCTTTAGTAACTCATAGACTCTGACTAAACATGGCGGATCACAGACATGTGTTTATCCCTACTCCCTCCCAAAACTCCATCAGAACAATGGTAAATGAATAAGAAGGTATAAATTCACAAGGAGAAGCAAAATGGGAGAGCAGACAGCCATGGACGAGACACAGGACGCGTTCCACAAGACGGCAGGGAAGGAACATCATAGCTACCTGAGCTAACTCCAGCCAAGGGTCTTTCTGGGGCCCCCAGAGCACATTGCAAAGGAAGCTGTCAGCTCCATGTGGAGATCCATGGCAGGGACGGGGAGAAAATCTGTGCCAAACACTGGGCCATCAGTCACTAGGGATTTGGGAAGGTAAATGAGACCCTGTTTGGGGCAATTAGCTTAGGGCCTGGAGCCAGAGAAATGGCGGGGCTGGTTCCTGGCCCACCGAGTCCCTGCGCTTGTTCATATTTGCTCAGGATGCATGGGAGTTGAGCAATATTTGGACAGTTTTTCCCCCATCCCACACTAGCCTTGTGAATTCCATCATACGCTTCTGCCGTGCCTGCAGGCTCCCAAGAGCCCACGTGAGACCCCTGAATTTTTCACCACCAAGGATGGGACACGCAGGATCAAAACTGAACACATGTGCTGGTTACAGAGGCTGGTGGACCCCAGACTCATCTCTGACGGAGATGCCTTCCTTCTCCGTGTGGCTTTAGGGCTTGGGAGGCAGGGGAAGGGGTCAAATGACTCCTCAAGGTCTCATTGGGTTTGAAGATGTCTATATTTCTGGGAAGAATTTCCTGAAATGTGTGTCTGAGGATGCTGGGGACTGGTCACCCAGGAGGGGCCAAAGAAGAGGGCAGCCCTACATGAGGGCAGGACTGGACGGGGGGCAGGGGCAGGCAGGGCAGCTCCATATCCCATGGAGGAGAGGCTGCGCCAAGACCACCAGATGCTTGGGCTCCTTGGCCAGCGGACGGGGAGGGGAGGGCGGCTCGGCCAGGGTTGGCCAGGGCTGGGGTCAAGGTCTGGCAGCAAGATCCTGGCTGGGAGTCCTGTGGGTGGATGGGAGGGAGGTCTCAGAGGGCTGGCTGCCAGGAGGCCAGTCCTAATGGGATGGGGAGGAGCCTTGGGCAGGCTGGGAGCTGGAGGGGCCCAGGGGGTGTGAGTGGGAGGAGATGGGGGCCGTCCGGGGCGGGGGGGGGGGCGGGGGGGTGGAGGAAGAGGCTGACAGCCTGGCCTAGAGTCAGCCACGGGAGGCAGAGACCCCAAGGCACAGGAGAGAAGGTGAGGAGGGGAGAGTGGGCCAGGGAGGCAGCTGGGTGGAAGAAGACGAGCCAAAAGGAGCAGCTCCAAGGGTGAGATCTGTCAATCCCTCCGTAAACCCTTGTTGTAAGGCAACATCCCAGTATCTCTCCCTGAGGGGGCCTCCGTTTCCACATCTGTAGCTTTCTGGTCCTAAGACCACCAGTACACACAGAGTTCTTGGGGTGAGTGCGTGCCTCAGGCAACCCCAGTCATGGATTAGGGGCCAGGATCAGAAGGGCTGGGAGAGGGGTGGTGGGGAAGGCCCCAGAAAAGAAGTTAAGGGAGGGAGGAGCTGCCTAAGAAGAAAGCCCTGTGGGGCTGAGGTGAGACCCCGGTGTCTGGGGTCAGGGGTAGGGCCAGTGATCAGGAGCAGCCCCAGCACAGGGAGGGTTAAGCACCGCTCTGGGCCCCTCCCATGTGTTTACGTCCTCCCAAAAATATTCGGCCTCCAGCTGGCCTCCATTCTCTATCCTGCCCCTCCCCCTTGAGTTAGCCTTGGGGGACAAAGGGGGTGCCAGGGCCAGGGTTCCCAGGCCCCGGAGGGAGCCCGCAGGCTCAGAGTGCTGGGGGAGAAGCAGACCTGGAGAGGCTGAGGTGGGGGAAGCCGAGGGGGGCTCTGAGGGCAGAGGGCAGGAAAGGGGATCAGAGACGCGGTGGGAGAGAAAGACCGGGTCAGAAAAGGGCGAGGGGGAAGGGTGAGCGTGGGCAACAGGAGGGCTTCCCAGGCTGTTGGCCTGAGGACAAAAGCCAACTCAGCACCTACCCGGGACAAGGCCGAACATGGGCTGAGCTGGGCCCAGGGAACAGTGGGGGGCAGGGCAGGGAGGAATGCAAGGACCAGGGGAATACCAGGGGGATCTCTGACTGCAGGGCCACTTCCTGTCCCCCCAACCTCAGCCCAGAGCTCTGTCAGGCACCCGCCCCCCCAGCTGCAGGGCCAGGGAGTTGGTGGCTCCACTGGCTGGCATGAAGAGCTGAGGCCTGAACACTCTCGGCAGGGCCCGGGTGACCGAGGTGACGCCATGTGGCAGCTGCTGATGTCTCTGGCCCTGTGGCTGGGTGCGGTGGGCTTGGGCAGAGCCGAGCTCACGGTGGCGCAGCAGCGGGGCCTGCAGGTGGCCCTGGAAGAATTTCACAAGCACCCGCCCGTTCAGTGGGCCTTCAAGAAGACCAGTATGGACAATGCCACGGAAACGGTTAGCGGCATCGCCTGGGGAAGGAAGGGTGTTAGGGCCACAAGCACATTCCCAGGAAGCAGGTGCAATAGCGCTTGGGCTCGAAGAGCACCCAGTTCTCCAGGGAGAGGCCAACACCGCAGCCCCCTTTTCAGATGTGCTGTTTCATGGGTGGGGGGGTGGGGAGGAGGGACAGGTCACATCCAGGAATTGCTCTGCCCACTCAGCTGGCTGCTGGCCTTTCGCTGTCCGTGTGCAGCCCTTCCCTGCAGGGACCTTTGTGAGGCTGGAATTTAAGCTCCAGCAGACAAGCTGCCGGAAGAAGGACTGGAAAAAAGCGGAGTGCAAAATCAAGCCCAACGGGGTGAGTGAAGGCCTGTGTGTGTGTGTGTGTGTGTGTGTGTGTGTGAGAGAGAGAGAGAGAGAGAGAGATGGGGCATTTATTTGCTCAGTGCGAGGGTATGTAGTTGGGGTTCAGGAAGAGAGCCAGCAAGAAGCCCCGAGGTTGGGGCATTGGTCCCACTGTGGAGCAGCCTCTCTGGAAGCGGACCTGGCTCGGTCTGAGCCTGGGCTTGTGATGCTGTGGGCGGCCAGGGCTGGGACAGGCAACAGCGGGGAGGGTTGGGCTACTCTGAGGACATATGTTCTTCAGAGAGAGTCGTCTTCCCACCCGGACTCCTCTCTCAGGCTTCAGGTCAGTGGTGGAGGAAGCCCACGGCGTGGGGGTTTGGCTGGCTCCCACCCCAGGCCTGGTGAATTCCCCCCTTTCTGTGAGTCTTTGAGTACAGATGGCCCAGCCTGGACTGACTCATAACAGGGCTTGACTGTAATCGGCCCCCTCGGGGGCATAACCGCTGCTGTGGGGGAGCCCCCAGTCCCAGCTGTTCCAAGCACCAACCTGTGACTCAATAGGTTCTTTGAAGGCCTGTTCCCTCCATCTGCTAAGGGAGGGACTGGATTGTATCAGTGATTTTCCAGACTTTTATGTCAGGACCCTGGTGTTCATACCGTATCTTTTAAGAACATGCAAATAAATATAACAGACCAGCAGAGTGGCTCGAAGTGAAAGTCAGGTGGGGAAAACCCATCTGGGGAAGGAGTCCTGCCTACGCACACGTTCTATAGTTTGAAAACTGCAGGACGGGCTGACGTCTGAAACGTCCCAGTCCCCGGGTGGGCTGCGCCAGAAGCCAGTTGGCCCACACGACCCCCTGCCTCTCTGCTCTAGGGCCTGCCAGGGGAGCCGGTCCCCACTGCAGGCAGCCCCCAGCTTCCACCCCGCTGGGGCCGCATGCCTGCCCTGACCTCTCCCCTCTCCCGGCCCCGTGCTCCCCTCCCCAGAGGAAGCGGAAATGCCTGGCCTGCATCAAACTGAACGCTGCAGATAAGGTCCTCGGCCGGATGGTCCACTGCCCCATACACACACAGTCTCACCGGGTAAGAGCGGGCACAGGAGGAGGCAGGGAGGCTGGGGGAGAGGCTGGGAAGGTGGAGAAGCTGGGCCTGGAGGAGAGGGCAGAGGTGGAACACGGACTGAGGTGTGCAGAGGGTGAGGAGGGTGAGGAGCAAGTAGGGGGTGAGGAGGGGCAAGGGGGTATGAGAAAAGAGGGAGGAAAGAGGAGGAGGTGAGGGGTGAGGAGGGGTGAGGAGGGGTGAGGAGCGGACAAGGAAGCTGGGAGGGCCGAGGAGGGGTGAGGACGGGTTCTGGGCCTGGCCCCGCTATTCCCTAAGGGATGTGGAGGTGCGTGCCAAAGAGGATGCAGGCACCCTCCCCGGGGGCACCCTCCCCGGGGGCACCCTCCCCAGACCCTGCTGGCCCCTGGGCCTGAGCAGCCGCTGGCTCTGGCAGGAGGCTGAGGAGCAGGAGGAGACTCAGTGTGACAGGGTGGCGCGTGCCGGCGAGGACCCCCACAGCTACTACTTCCCAGGACAGTTTGCCTTCTTCAAGGCCCTGCCCCCCAGCTGAGGCCTGATGGTAGGTGCCCCGGACAAGGGGGAGGGGCCGGAGCTGGGACAGCGCTCGCGTGTTTGGGGAGGGAAGCTGGGCCAGTGTGGGGCTGAGGGCGGCGGTGGGGGAAGGATTCAGAGCCTGGGGAAAGAGTCCGGACCGACCCAAACAGCCTCCCTCACACCCAAATCTTAGGTTTCTTTCTCCTTTCCTCTAGAATTTTGTCCCGCTTCCCGGACAGCTGCAGGAGGTGACCAGTGACAGACCGACCTGCCGTCCCTGAGCCCAGGGAGGACAATCCCGCTATCCCCCAGCTAATAAACCGCTCTCCCAGACTCGCTCTCTCCCCCTCTTGCGTGCCCCCCTCTCCTCAGCCCCGCTGCAGGAGTGCAGTCTTGCAGGAGGAGCGGGAGACTTCCTGCCCACCGCCCAGGAAGCAGGAGACCAGGCACCACAGAGACCTCGTGTTGCCTTCAGGCGCTCATGCTTGGGAAAACAAAGCTCACCCATGGAAAATGATAGGCAATGATGCTTATTAGAACAGAAAGATTTAATAGGGATCAGCATGCATGAGAACGGGCAGCGAGGGCTCCAGGGTGACACAGGATGAGGCCACCAGAGCAGAGGGTTACTGGGACAGGCAACTTTGGAAGGTGGGCGAACACCAGCTTCCGGGCTCCGCCCCCTCCTCTCCCAGGACGGCTGGGCCAGCGCCCACCCCATCCCTGCCTCTCTCACCTCTAGCCTTAGGAAGAAGCAACTCTCTTCCCCTGAGCCTTGGACCCAGCGGCTGGGGCGGGGGGGAGGGCAGCGGCTGTGGACTTGGCTGCACACAGGGCCTCCCTCCCAGGCACACAGCGGAGGTGGTGGGCCGGCCTCACGCTCTGCCGGCTGCTTGAGCAGGACCTTTACCCCTGCTAGAGGCCACTGGGGAGGCATGTCCTTGAACCATGTGCAGGGAGATGTGGAATTTTCCCAAAGGAGCGGTGGGGGTAAGGGGGGGCGCACTGCTCTTAGCAACACGGAGAAAACAGAGCCGGGTCTGCAGGCCCCGTGGCCAGCATGATGAAACTGAAGACATGCACCAAAGCCAGGCAGCAGATGCGGGCAGCCAGGCCACAGTGTGCCCGGCCGTCACAGGCCACGGGCATACTCAAAACACAAAGGACGAGGTGGTGCCGGCAGGGCTGAGCGCTCGCTCAGCCTGGGCCAGGCTGTCGTTGGCCTGGCGGTCCAGGTCATGGCACTCCTGCAGGGCGTGCTGGAACTGCCGGCAGGCCTCCTCCAGGATGGAGCTGCTCCGGGTGGGCCACGACTCCCAGTAGCCCGGCTCTACCCAGGGCTGGGCCTCCGCGGCTCCGGGGCCAGGGCTGGAGCCGGGGCGCAGGGAGCTGTCCAGGTCGCGGCACAGCTGGTAGAACTCACTGCCCCGCCCGCTCACACGCTCGCCATCGATGACCTTCAGGCCGGGGAGCAGCTCTCGGACGGCTGCCCAGTAGGAGGGGCTGGCGCACAGCGGGTTGCTGAGCCGGGCCAAGGGGTCCCGGAGCCGCAGGTACTCGAGGCCCGGCAGGCCGGCCAGACACTGCAGCTGGCCGGGGGTGGCCAGCAGGTTGCCCGCGGCGTTGAGACTCTGCAGGCTCTCGCAGGCGCCCAGCGGCTCCAGTCCCGTCAGCCGGTTGTCGGCCACGTTGAGCACCGCCAGCTGGCGCAAGCAGGCCAGCGGGCCCAGCTGGGTGAGCGCGTTGCCCGACAGGTCCAGCCACTCGAGCCCCAGGCACTCCCCCAGGCAGCCCAGGTCCACCAGCCCCAGGCCCCGGAGCTTCAGCAGCAGGATGGACTCCAGGGCGAACTCACCCGAGCGCGACTTGAGCAACTGGGGCGTGACACACACCCTGTCTGCCTCTGCCGGCTTCTCACCCTGGGGCTCCATCGGATGAAGTCCGTCCGGGAGGCCGGGGCCCTGGCGGTTCTGGCTCGGGGATGCGGGCACCACTGGGGGTCGGCTGACGGCTCGCCCCGAAAAAGGCACCATCCCCTCTGCCTGGGCCGGCGCCAGAGGCCCATTTCCGACACCCCTGCTCACGGGCCAGTGGGCTCCTACGGAGAGAAAATCACCCAGTAAGCGGGCCACTCCTGAGCCCCCCCTGAGCCCGCAGCAGATGACAGCATGAGGTGTCTCCCAGCCTCTCCCACCGGGCCAGCCCGGCCAGACCTGAGGACACAGAGCCCTCCTGAGGGAGGGGGGCCAGGCTCCGGCCCCCACCTAAAGGAACCCCTGACTGGCTCCAGCAGTTACGCTGTAGTGAATGGAATTCGGGTGCCATGGGACTGATCCTTCCCATTTTCCGTATCAGCACCGGGAGGCAAAACCTCTTCATTTTCCTTTTTTTGTACCCGCTCATATAGCTCATTAATTCTGAGGTGTTTCTTTTTAACCATTTCAATTAATTCCTGAATAACTAACAGGTCACCACCATCAACCACCTCTTCTGTTTCCTTCCATATGCAGACACAGAGGACAGCATGCTGGGCCTCACTTCATTCTCTCAAAAATGTCCTCGGCTCAGTGCTTTTTTTTAACATGAGCAATGAATTCAAAATGGTTTCCAGATTGCGTGGGCCAACTTGTAACCTCTGCTTGTGGTCGTGGGGCCTGGAGGCTCAGCTCTCTGCCCAAGACGGGGAGACTGAGGTCAAGGAAAGGAAGGGCCAGCGAAGGCCCCCAGAGGAGGTGGCAGCACGGGCAGTCCCGAGGCCGCCACCGCCTGCCCTCAGCCCCAGCGCCTGCTGCACACTAGCTCTTTACTCTGGTGCCGACATAAGGGCATCAATCCCTGTCTGCCAGGCAGTACGGGCTAGGGTTAGCCAGAGAAGGTAAGCAGGGCAGAAGGCCAGGCAAAGAAGCCATGCTGGAGGGAAGGACCTGGCTAGCACCTAGGTTCCAGAAAGGCAGGGGAGGGAGGGCCTTTCCAGGCGCCAGTGGCTGTGGGGCGGCATGAGGCCAGGTGCTAGTGCGAGGGAGGAGGCCTGGGGGAAGGAGAGCGGCAATGCCGTCCACAGAGGGGTCAAGGTTTCAGCAGAGAGGAAAACAAGAAGGGATCTCTGCTCCAAGTGGCAGCCTCCCAACCCTGCAGACTCGGGCCAGGCCTGGGCCAGGCAGGGTGACGCCTGCAAAGAACCATAGGATTATTCACTCCTGCTGTTTATAAAGCCTGGGCGCCAGGGTAACAACGAGTCCCAAGTCTGTGTTTACATAATCCACACCACTTTTTACTTCCCTCTCCGAGGGAGATTTCCCTCACCAGGCCCAGAGTTCCGCCCCTTCCCCCAGGCCCCTCCCCCCATCTCGGAGCAGGGGGTCCCCTCATCTTAACCTAGCTCCCCTCTATTCTGCAACACTCCTTCATTTCTACTTTACTTCTTTCCAAAAGCGATTCGAGGCATCCACTAAGAAGTCTGGGTCACTATTCGAACGGGACCTGCTAGGGCTTGTAAGCAGCGAGAGGGGGTTAAAACTGCTGCCCATGGCAGGGAGGGGTGGAAGAAGGGCACCAGGTACTAGAAGCCTGCCATAAACACTAGGGAGACAAGGCCTTCATGAGCGCTGGAAAGGAGCGCTCTCTGGAGTCTAGAACAACTTCCAAGGATCTAGTCACATTACTGCATGCATGTGGGACACACAGGACAGGCAGGGAGGCAAGAAAGCTGTCCAGTCACCTGTGTGCATCGGGCCTAGGAGGCAGCTGGAGCTCTAGGCTGAAGGGCTTCAAGCATTACCTGCAGAGGTGCCCAGTGGGAATGTGCAGCTCACTGGGCCAGCCTTTCCGGGGGACAGAGACCTCTTTAGGTATTTGCAGGCCTCTCTCCAGGATGATGCAGAACCTCCCTAGCCACACACAATTTTGGGGGTGAAAGTGGTCAGGAGGCCCTGGCATCTAGTGAAAAGGAGCAGTCATGGGCCGCCGTCGAGAGAACACCACGTTTATGAGGCTGAATGGAGGGCACTGACAAGCAGCCAGAGGGAGGCGGGTGAGGACACAGCAAGGGACACTGTGTGAAAATGCCCGCTGGACTCAGGAGGCTGCTGGGTAGAGCAGGCTCAGGCGGAGGCAAGCCCACAGCCCAAGCATGATGGTCAGGGAGTGATGCCCCGAGGAACGGGCTCAGTGACCTCAGGGACCATATGGATGGAGGTGGCCGCTGTGGCAGGAAAGGACAAGGGGACCAGAACGGGGCGGGGGGGGGGGGAGGGAACACTACGTGCTCCCCACATTAAAGCTGGGAGGAACACTTTTGCAGAAGAGGAAACAGAGGAGCCAAGAGCACATTCACTGGAAATCAGGACTTCCGTGCCCCAAAGCCCTGCCTGACAGGTGACCACAGCCCTCCGGCCCACGGCTCTGTGCCTCCCACCCTGGGCCCCAGGCCCTCGCCAGTGACAACAATGCACAGTCACCAAGGTAAACCACGGGTTCTCCAGCCGATGGACCTCTGCTCTGCTCCCGGTCCCACCTGACCTGGCATCTGCACACCTCAACCAGGCAGGCGTGAGCACGACTGAGCCCCACCCCTCCCCGCCCCGAGCCGTGCAAACCCAGCTCCCACAGCGGCTGGCAGCACAGAGCAGGCCCCGCAGGATGGAATGGCTCCTCCACACCCAGCTGCTTCAGCGTTCCTCTCTAGAGGACCAGAGTCCTCCTATCCTGGCCCTGCCGTGGAAAGGAGCGCACAGAAACTCCCGGGCCCACGTGTGTCTGCCAACAGGGCTTGCTTACATGGATGAGGCTGTGACGAAGGCACAGCCACTGCTCGGCTTTCCTGCGGGACGCCTGTCTTTCCTTGTTCAGAACTGCCTTTGCCGAGTCTCAGTTACCTACCTAGGGAGTGGGCCGGAAAATAACGCCTACGAGCCGGCCAGGGCAGGCCAGAGCTCTGTCCCGGGGAGAGGTGGGCAACGCAGAGCAACCTCAAGCACGGTCACCTGCTGCTGCAGGGAGCCTGGAGACCCTTCCTCAGGCCCATCCCTCCCGCCCCCATTCACAGTGCAGATCAGGGCTCTTTACCTCCGCACTACCGCCACTCGAGAGCAGGTACGTTGTCCTGTGCCTTGGAGGATGTTCGGCAGCATCCCTGTTTGCCACCCACGAGAGGACAGGAGCAATCCCACCAACAAGCCGTGACAGTCAAATGTCTCCAAACATTGACAAATGTCCCGAGGGACAAAACTGCATCCCCCAGCCCCACCCCAAGCGCTACTGCTTGGGACCAGCAAGCTTCTCTGTCACCCTCTTCCCCTCTCCGACTCCCACATGCTCCCGCCCTGCTGCCTAGCCCTTCCCGCCTGCCAACACTGCAAAGCCAGCTCAGTGACACCACACGGCAGGGACGGCTCAGGGGACCGCAGTGCAGGGCAACATGAACCCCCCACGGCGACTTTAGGGCACCTCACATTCCTGTCTCCCACCCCACGTGCTGAGTCATTAATCTGGGAGGGAGGTACAGGACGCCGCAGAGCTGAGAGCAGCAGGGAGAGGCCCAGGGCCATGCTCTGACCTTGCCACCCAACTGCACTTGATTTGGAGTTATAGGGACGTCAGACGTGCAGCCATCATCCAGGCCCCTCCCCCAGGCAAGCCTCCCCTCCAGTCCCAGGGGAGCCTAGAACAGCTTGGGGTGGGGGGGGAGCGGGCAGGGAGATGTGACCTAAGCAATCTGGAGGCCAGACTTTAAATCATGCTAATCCGACCATTAAATATGATCTTTACAAACCTTTATTTAAGAAAGGAGATAATTATGAAAATACAACATACTCAACAGGACAGAGAGGATGATCCCAAGGTTAAAAAAACGAAGTATGTCCAAGCATTAACAAGGCTACCTGAGTGCAAGGATTACGGTTAATTTTTCCTGCTTCCTTTCATCATCAATAACTTCCAGATGTCCTACAGTGAATTACTCATAGCAACACATGACTGCCAACCCTTCCAAGGGAGGCCAGGGGACAAGCGTCGCAGGCTCACCCCCACAGCCAGGGCCCAAGCCCAAGTTAGACCTTGAGTGCCTTGCCCCACCTCCGCCTACCGGCCTTCCCTCTCAGAGCCACCCTTCAGGCACCCAAGCACCTCAGGAGAGCCAGGTGTGTGTCATACGCGGGGTGACAGGCCTGCCGCCGATCCTCCGGGCTCTCCCTTTCCTTCTTTCCCCACCCGATCCCACCAGCTCCTGGGGCTTGCGCACTCAGCTCTGGACCCTGCCCTGAAGGCACTCTGGCACCCGTGGGCCTGATACACATCCTTTCGTGCTTCCAGGGAGGGGATTTGCACTTTGCAAGTGACCAGGGAGAAGGGGAGGTGTGGGCGCTGCAGGTGGGATATACATGTAGCTACCTAGAGCTTGGATAGCCATGAAGTGCTTTCAGAGACTGCTTTCACTGTAGAAAGGAAGGAACCCCAGGGTCTCCAGCAGTCTGGAAACAAACCACAGGTAAGAAGGCCGTTCGGAGGACTGGGTCCATCGGCGGTCCGTAACTCACACCTCCTCACCGGCTGGGCAGTCCCATCAGCTGGGGTGCTCTGGCCACTCTGGAATCCATAAGAAAGTACCGACCCCAAGAAGACTGGTGGGTGCGTGTGTGCATACACTTCCCTCTTAACACGGCTACTCTACCTCAGGGCTTCTTTCTTCTACAGTGAAAGCAACTGGGGCAAAAGCTTCCATAGCTTACCAGGCCCCAGCTGGCTGAGCAGATTTCCCACCTGCCAACACCCATGCCTCTTCTTGTCCCTGGTCACTTTTTGAGAAAGCAGAGCTCTTAAGGGCATGAGACGTACACGGACAAGTTGCACGGGCCCTTACTACCCACCAACACTGCGAAAGGGCGCTGCAGCTTAGAGAAGTGTGTAGTACAACTTCCAGGCACTTCTGGACACAGTTATCCTTTCCTATGCACAAACTGCTAGAAATAAATGAAGCAATGGGTGGATGGAAAAACAACACCTCCCTGGGGGGAAAAGGCAACCTGTCAAGAATTGAGAAACTGTCCTGATTCCTTCCAAACAGTTTTAGGACTCCGGCCGTCCCTGTCTAACGCCCTAGAGTGCACATTCTGCTCTCCCCTCTGAGCCCGGGCAGAGTTCCCACAGGCAGACTTTCAGGGAGTCAGAGGGAGGTCCGCCTCGCTGGTCTGCTCCCCCTCGGCCAGGTCTCCTCGGGGGAAGAGGAGGGGAGGGGCAGTGTAGTTGGGGAAATTCTCCAGGTTGGTCTTCAAGAAGAGGAGACGCTCAACGGTCTCCACTGGGAGAGGGGCGCTGGGCTGCACAAAGGCAGGGCTGTCCAGGGAGGCACAGACACTTCCAGAGAAGACCCCTGTCGGGGGACAGGACAGATAGACAGTGGCCAGTCTTGCCAGAGCTGGCCAGACCTCCTGCCTCTTCTCCCAGTAAACCAGCGGGTCCTCCTGGGCACCGATTGTCTCATTCTCACGCAGGTACTTCTTGACGATGATGCTGGCCAGGTGGCTCTCAGTGGACAGGGAGGCCCCGCTTCTCTCGGACGCCAGCAGCCCCACACTTTCCAGCTGCTCCAGCAAGCTCCTCTCCCTCTGGCCGAGCAGCAGAGACCCAGAGCCGTTTCGGTGTGCGGGCTCTTTCTGGCCCTTCCCCTCGGCCCCAAGGTTCCTGGCGCCTGCATGCATGCTCTTCGAGCTGTGCGGGGAGGGGGAGGGAGGCAAGGAGTATTCAGACACCATGACCTCCTTCACCTTGTACACGAGAACTTGCTTCCAGTGGTCAATGTCGGCCCCCGTGGGCAGGATGGCCTCGATCTTGCCCTTGAAGCGGGGGTCAAGCAGGGTTGCCAGCACGAACTCCTTGCGGTGGAAGAGCTCGTTGAGCTGGCAGTCTGTGGCGAGCTGCAGGGCCAAGCCCTTGGCCAGCCGGATGGCGGCACCCACCTCCGCACCGCCCTGCTCCTCAAAGTGCCGGTGCACCTGCTCCAGGAAGATATGCAGGTAGCGGAGCTGCGGCAGCACCTGGCTCAAGGACGCCTGCGCGGCGCTCGCCTCCCGGACCACCATCTGGAAGGGCTGCAGGAGTGTGACCAGACTGTCCGTCAGGCTCCAGAACACCGCCGACAGGGCCGCGCCGGCCTTGCCCAGCTGGTGCTTCTCCTCGTACTCCCGCAGCGGCCGCTGCTGCACCACCAGCCACTCCATCAGGCGGTAGGCGGACCCCCAGTGGTCTGAGAGCTCCCAAAAAGGCTGGTGGGCCGGGAGGCCGCACTGCCGCTGCAGCCGGGTCAGGAGCCGCCGGGCCCCTGCAGAGCCTTGGAAATGGCTGCAGATGGCCCTGACCGTACCCAGGATGACCTGGACGCTCTGATGGTGACACAGGAAGTTTGTCACCAGGGAGTCGAGGCAGTGGGCAAAGCAGGGGAGGTGGGTGTAGCCCTCGGTCCTCACTGCCTGCTCCAGGCTGAGGCAGCTGCCCGATACCAGGAAGCCTGGTCGCAGGGAGCTTCGGCTGAGCCACAGGCGGACCTGCTCCCGCAGCTCCCGCTGCCTCTCCTCCGCAGTGCTCTCCTGGGGCAGGCCTCGAACCCAGAGCACGGCGTGCTTTCTCGGGCTCTCCGCCGCCGCCAGCCGACCGCCCGGCCGTATCGCTGCCCAGTGGGCCGTGACGGCCACATAGTCCACATCTGCGTCCTGGGCAGCAGTGGACACGGTGAGGTGGACACAGCTGCCCTCGGCCCACTGCATCTCCTGACACACCTGCTCCCCGACCGCTTCATGGAGCAGAGGCAAAGCTTTATCAGAGAAGAAGGCCGGAGGTGGCACACGGTAGCAAGGGTCGGCCTGGGCCATAAACCTTCTGAAAGGCAGGGACGAAACAAAGGAGAGCGGACACGCCAGGCCACAGAGCAACTCCGCGATGCCGTGGTTCCAGGCCTGCGCTCGGGGCGGGCAGGGGGCGGCGGCGCCACCTTGGCCCTCCGTGACCGCCAGCAGGGGCGTGGCAGGTTCATCTTTGGTGGAAGCGGGCAAGAGTGGTGGAGCCGGGACCAGCTGCTCGGGGGAGGCACTGGGGCAGCATCCTGGCGAGCGGAACCCCTCGGGGGCAAGGCTGGCAGCGCCAGCGGGCAGGCCCGCGTGCTTTTCGTCCCTGGTCCCTCCCCTCTTCTCCCCTGGGCTGGCTGCAGTCGGCCTTTTCCCCCTCTCCAGCCCGGGCTTACTCACCAAGTGGTGGACCAGGCCTGAGGCCTGGAAATGCCCCTTCAATTTGCCATGCCTGACACTGGCATGACACAGAGTGCAGGTGACATGGCAGACGTTCTTGCAGTCAGTGGTAAAGAGCTGTCTGATATCGGACGCGGGCTTCGGACCCACGGCATCCAGAGCGCCGGGGCAATGCCTGGGGAAGGCCCAGCCCTTGGTCTCTGCCTTCAGAGTTCGGACCAGCTTCTTCAGGCAGGGCGGCTTCTGGAGGCTCACCAGGGATGATGTCTCCCCGACAGCAGCAAGCAAATGCCTCTTCCACTTCTTGAGGCGCCGCACCTCCCTGGCCAGATGGGCTATGAGGATGTCAGCCTGCTTTACCTTCTCGCTCTCACTGGGCTGGCCCACCTTGGACCTGTCCGGACTGGCCGCCTGGACCGGCGCTGGGGTCGAGGGGGACTGGCCAGAGCTGAGCACTGGGTCCCTCGACTTCTTCAGTGTCGGCTCTCCCTCCTCTCTCTGTCCACGTGCCTTCTGTTTGGACACCTTCTTCTCGGGCTGCCCAGGGGGCTCCGGCCCAAGCACAGATTTGAGACTATAGAGGCCAGAGTCTCCCTTTGGCTTATTCTGCCCAGGGCTGGCCAGGCACTTTGTATGGGAAGCAGCCGGGTGAAGATCAGGGCTCCCCAGGGAGCAGGCTTTTCTCTTCTTGCTGTAGACATGGAGGCCCAGGGTGCCTTCTTCCTGCTCCTCCAGGAAAACTTGGCCAGGTGAAGGGACCAACGAGGAACTGGGGAGAGGGTAAGGTCTCTTCCTCGGTAGGGGCAGATCCCTCTCACTCCCCTTTGGGGATACAGAGGATCTGATTTTCCTGTGACCACTGACAGCCCTCTCTTCTATGTCTACAAACTCTAGTTTAACCTCAGTCTCCAGCAGGCGCCCCCCAGCACCCCAGCCAAGTCCGTGAGAGGTATTGGTAGCTCTGGTGTGAAACCTGGAGCTAGGAGAAGCCAGGGGAGCAGCCGGGCTCCTGGGTCTGGTCACGGAGGAGTCAGCACACACAGGCGGCTCCAGCGCCACTGATCCTGAACGTCTATGTCTCTTGGGGGGCTTCCTGAGTGTTTCTACTTCCAACATGCTTGGGAACTTGAGGGAAATGAGAAGATGGACCCAGGCTGCAAAGCAAGATGAAAAGAATGGCTCTCAGCTGCCCTACTCAACTTTGGGGACCATGAGGGGGAAGGCAAGGCTGGAGGGGAGAGGAGCGAGCAGAAGATGCAGGCGTAGTGAGATCCTAGGAAATCAGCCCCAAGACAAAACTCTCAAGACCACAACCTCCTTGGTGAGGGCTGGCATTCACTCCTACAGACTGGATGGAGCGGCCCTCAACAGGAATCCCCACAGCCCTCTGTACCTTAGCGGGCTCAACATCCCTCTGTGCCAAGCTAACAGAGATTTCTCTCTTTCCTTTCCATGTTTACTGAGAATCTAGCAGGCACGTGGCAAGTTTCCTTTGTTGCGGATCCACTAGAAGATAGGCAAAGCCCCCGTGTGACCGTGGCTTCCAGGCTGCCCGGCGAGACAGACGTGAATAAAAGACTCGTGCTCACATCATGGAAAGCTAGAGCCGCCGTGCAGGTGTGAAGGAGCGACACTTGCAGTTGTGAGACCCCAAGGAGGGGACCGACCTCGCCAAGATGTCAGGCAGGTTTCCCTGGAAGACGTGCAGGTGCTGGGTGCTGTAAGCTCAGGCCAGGAGGGAGTGGAGCCTAGGTCTCTGCAGCCCGCATACCTGGGCTGTACCTGTCACCCAGCAGGGCACCAGAAATAGGTCATGATACTAGGTACTAGGCAGTGATGCCACAGTGGCCTCGCTAGATCTTTTGAAGTTTTTTCTAGAAGTCAGCCTGCACTCGGAAACACAGGACAGGAGCACAGAACAGGACAGCCCCTAATGCCAGAGACTCATGCCCCCTAGTGTCCTGTCACTCCCCTCTCCCTGTCCCAGAGAGACTCCTGAGGGCTGCTTACAATTCCTCACCTCCCACTCCCCTCGAAGCCTGCTCCTCTGACTCTGGCCCCCGCCACTCCCTGACACTGCTTTTGCCAAGGCCACCAGCGCCCCCCTTGGCACCTCCTCCAATGGACTTCTCTGCAAGCGCTGGGCTGCCGGCCCACATCCTCTGTTTGGAACGCCACCTTCCTGTGGCCCTGGGGCACCCCACGTTCTTGGTTTTCCTCTCACCTGCAACTCCTTTGCAGTCTCTGGTCTGGTCCCTCTTCCTCCCGCCTGTTCCTTCCTGCTGTTGCCCATGGTTCCTGCCCAAGTCCCGTATCTCATTCTCACACCCTCTCCAACTGGGGCTGCGTTCACACACTGACACATGGGCCTCTGTCTGGCTCAGAGACCTCTCTTCAGCTTCCCCTCTTCCACCTGCTCTTCCTACGGTCACCGCAATCTCGTCAACGGGAAAGCTGTTCGCCCAGATGCTCCGACCCCAAGCCGAGGCACAATCCTGAACTCCCTTCCCTTGCTCGTTCTCCTAGAGATTAGGTCACATTCAGATTCAGGCACAACCAGAAAAAAGACATGAAGAAGTCAGAAAAAAAGTATGTGGAAAGGGAAGGAAAGGAAAGGAAAAGCCCAGCGCTAGAATGTGTTTCTCTGGACAAAGGGAGAGTCATAGGAAGGTGACCTACCAGCCCCACCACACACATCGATAAGCAAATGGGCTTTGTCTTCTCACATCAGAATGACGTACAGGCTCAATGAGATTTAAAACCGGTACATTCTGACACTGAGTGATGTTAAACGTTAAGAAGAATCACCAGGGATGGCAGGGATGGACCGCCTTTACAGGTGACAAGCCCACTGAGGCAGCTCCAGGAAGATTCTGCCCATGGAGGGTGGGCAACGTGATGCTCGTGCTGAGCCCCCATCTCAGAAGGACCAGAGCATCACCCTGGGCCCACTGCCCAGGAACTCAGCCACCACACCAAACGTCTGACCTCCACGGGGCACTGTGGATGGGCCGGACGAGGTCTCCGATGAGATGGGAGACACCGTCCTGGTCCCAGAAGTGCCCTGAGATGTCAGAATTGGAGCGGGCTTACCTCAGCTCTGATTTTATGATTGAAGAACTGGAAATCCAGAGTGGGAGCGTGATGATCAGTGGCAGAGCGGAAGAGCAGAGATGGCTGCGGGCCTCCAGAAGCAGTTTGTAGGCATCATCCCCACTGAGAACTCAGAGCAGGCTACTGAAACCAGGCCCGTGCCAGACCTGCCTCACTGGTGACGGCCAAGGAAAGGGAAAAACCTGTGTGTTAGGACTGCAGCCGGGGCCACACCAATCCCGTTCTGTTCTCCAATTAGCCTTGTCCCATCCGCACATCTGTTTTCTATAGATACTCTCCACCCACTCGACTATGTAACAAGAATTCATCAGATACCTACCATCAGCCGGCACTGTGCCCTAAAGACACAAATACAGGAGAGGAAGCGCCCGGCTGGTGCTCAGGGCTCAGGACAAGAAGACAACTTGGAAGTGGGTCCATGGCGCCAGAGCGAGGCAAGGGGTGTGTGTGCCGAGGCCAGGCCTCAGGCTGACCTACGGATAAAATGAATCTATAACATTTGACTTTAGATTCTGTCTTGTGACAGAATCACTTACCTTAGGCTATGCTTCAGGATCCTCAACTCCTAACGGGCTCCCTGGGTAGATCTGGGGTCTTGTGTGATCACTGGAAGCGACAGTCATACCACTGCTCTCCCTTCCACTGAAGCACAGCGGGATGATCACTACGAGGCTGACGCCGTGGAGAGCCTCTACGTGAATCTAAAATGTAAAATTTGAAAAGAGAAT